TATCTATCTATCTATCATTGTATTTATCTATCTGTGTATCTGTACATGATATATAATCTATTGTCATTATCATCCCTGAACTTAGCCCTGTAATAAATCATTTATTAATACTATCTCTCTCCCTCTCTCCCTCCCCCACCACCCTTCTCCCGCCTCCCTCCCTCCACCCTCCATCACCCTCCTCTTCTCCTTCTCCCCTCTCCACCACCCTTCTTCCTCTCCTTCCTCTCACCCTCCACCCTCCTCCCTCTCCATGTCTCCTTCCACCACCCCCCTCCTCTCCCTCTTCCCCCCTCCCCTCCACCCCCTCCCTCCCCTCTCCCCTCAACCCTCACCCTCCACCCCTCCCACCCTCCACCCACCCCTCACCCTCCACCCACCCTCCCTTCTCCACCACCCCTCCACCCCACCCCTCCCCTCACCCACCACCCTCCCTCCCCTCCCCCACCCACCCCTCACCCACCCCTCACCCTCCACCCCACCCTTCTCTCCCCCATCCCCACCCTCCACCCTCACCCTCTCCACCCACCCCCTCACCCATCCCTCCACACCCCTCCAGATTCGCCTTCAAAGTAACCGAGGACGAGATTCACCTCTGGTTCAACTGCCAGCTGTCCAACATGCTCCTCGTCAAGAGAGTGCCGCTGCAGCTGGTGTTCGACTCGGCCTCGACCTTGTACATCGGGCAGGCTGGGGGGATCTTCAAGGGGGAGTTCGAGGTAAGGGCGAGTGGCGGAGGGCGGCTGGTTGTTGTTGTTGTTGTTGTTGTTGTTGTTGTATAGTAGTAGTAATATTAACATTATTATTATTATTGTTGTTTGTTGTTTTTTTTGTTGTTGTTGTTGTTATAGTTAGTAGTAGTAGTAGTAGTAATATTAACATTATTATTATTATTATTATTGTTGTTTTGTTGTTGTTGTTTGTTGTTATTATTATTATTATTATATTATTATTATTATTATTATTATTATTATTATATTATTATTATTATTATTATTATTATTATTTATGTTGTGATTAATGTTACTATCATTATTATTATTATTACTGTTGTTGTTATTGTTATTACTATTATTTATTGTTATTGCTGTTATTATTATTGTTATTGTTATGCTGTTATTGTTATTTTATTATTATTATTATTGTTATTATTATATCATTATATGTTGTTATTAATGTTATTATCATTTCATTATTGTTTATTATTATTATTATTATTATTATTATTATTATTATTATTATTATTATTATTATTATTATTATTATTATTATTATTATTATTATATTATTATTATTATTATATTATCATTACTATCATTATCATTATTATAGTTTTGGTATTTTTACTGTGCTTAGGTGTGGAAAAACTATTTTATTTAATCTATTAATAGTTTTTTATATTTACTTTTTTTGTATTTCTATCGTGTTGTGGTTGTGGCGAATTCCCGGTGAGTGAGAGCTGTTTCATTCTATTCATTCATCAATTAATTTATCTATCTATCTATCCTTTTATCGTGTGTTTAGTTAGTGAGAGATGTTTCATTTTATTTCTTAATTAATTGATTCATCTATTTATCTATGGTTTTATCGTGTTTAGTTACTAATTAGAGTGAGTTTGAAGTGAGGGGGAATTGTTTTATGTAATTTATCTATGAATTAATTTCTATTTTTTGTATTCTTATCGTGTTTCGTTAATAATTAGGGCTAATTCGAGATTAATTAGAGCTGTTTATTATTATTATTGTTATTATCATTATTATTATTTTTATTATTAGTAATATGTTTGATAATCAATGCAGTTTTGAGGAGAGTGTGATTAGAGAATCTTTTTTATTATTTTTCTGTATTAAATTTGTAGATAATCATGGCTAGTTTAGGGTCATTGAGATCAGTTTTTATTTTTTATTTTATTTTATTATGTCTGTTTGATTATCAAGTTTGGCTCTTGTTGTATTTTTTATATTTGCTTCGTCGTTTTATATATATATTTTCATAGTTCTTGTTTATTGTGTTTTTCTTGTTTGTGTTGTTTTTGTTTTATTGTTTTTTTTGTTTTTTGTTCTATCATTGCTTTTGTTTTTTTTTGTTTTATTATGTTGTTTTTGTTTATTTTGTTCTTGTTTTATTGTGTTGTTCTTTGTTTTTTGTTTTCATTTGGTTGTTCTTGTTTTATTGCGTGTTGGAGGAAGTCCCTGTTTTCTTAAATTGTTTATTTGTCTGCCAATCATCTATCTATTCATCTATTAATAACCAATTAACTGATTGACGGATCGATTTATCCAATCAATCCATTAATTAAAAAAATCACTTTTATTGGGCACTATCACTCGCATTTAAAAGGATAAATTTGTTATTTAAAAAAAAGTTGGATTTTATCTGACTTTGTTTTCCTTTTTAGGTGTTTTGTGTATTTGTATATTTGTCTGTATTCATCGACTGATTTCGTTCTTCATGTGGTTCTGTGTTGCTCACGTGTGCTGTATGTACGGGTGTAATTATGCTGAACAAGTGTATGCATACGTACATACATGCATACGTACATACATGCATACGTACATACATGCGTACGTACATGCATGCATACGTACGTACATATATACATACATGTACATACATACATACGTACATATGCATACGTACATTACATACGTACATACATACGTACATACATGCATACGTACATACATGCATACGTACATACGGCATACGTACATACATACATACATACGTACATACATGCATACGTACATACATGCATACGTACACATACATGCATACATGCGTACGTACATGCATACGGCATACATACATGCATACGTACATACATGCATACGTACATACATACGACGTGCAACGTACATACGCATACGTACATACATGCGTACATACATACGTACATACGTGCATACGTACATACATGCATACGTACATACATGCATACGTACATACGTGCATACGTACATACATACATGCATACGTACATACATGCATACGTACATACATATACATACATACATTCATACATACATACATATATACATACATACATACATACATACATTATATACACATACACATACATGCATACGTACATACATGCATACATACATACATGCATACGTACATACATGCGTACGTACATACATGCATACGTACATACATGCATACGTACATACACATGCATACACATACATACATGTGTACATAAACAGCATATACATACATACATTACATACATACATACATACATACATACATACATACATACATACATACATACGTACACACATACATACATACACACGCACACACAAGTATATAGACAGATAGATAGATAGATAGATATATATATATATATATATATATATATATATATATATATATATATATATATATGTGGTGTGTGTGTGTGTGTGTGTGTGTGTGTGTGTGTGTGTGTGTGTGTGTGTGTGTGTGTGTGTGTGTGTGTGTGTGTTTGTGTGTGTTTGTATCTATGTATGTATGTATGTATGTATGTATGTATGTATGTATGTATGTATGTATGTATGTATGTATGTATGTATGTATGTATGTATGCATGTATGTACATGTATATTCATGCCTCCATTGGATCATTCCATGCAAATCAGCGCAATTTCGAAATCAAATCAAATGCCTTTGTAAATTGGCAGCCTTCGGTATTTGCGTGTGAGTGTATATGCAGTACACGCCACACGCTCATACTCTCTCTCTCTCTCTCTCTCTCTCTCTCTCTCTCTCTCTCTCTCTCTCTCTCTCTCTCTCTCTCTCTCTCTCTCTCTCTCTCTCTCTCTCTCTCTCTCTCTCTCTCTCTCTCTCTCTCACGACGCTGCCTTCCGCCGTCGGCCGAGGGGGGGGAGGGGGAGGGAGGGAGGGAGGGAGGGGGGGGAGGGGAGGGAGGGAGGGGGGAGGGGGAGGGGGAGGGGAGGGAGGGGAGGGTCAGGTGGCTGAGAAAGGGGAGGGTTGAGGTGGGGTGGTGGGGGTGAGGTGGGAGGGTGGGGAGAGGGGAGGGAGAGGGGAGAGTAAGGAGGAGAGAGTGAGAGTAAGAGTGAGGATGAGGATGAGCGATGAGTGATGAGGGTGAGGGTGAGGGTGAGAGAGAGAGAGAGAGAGAGAGAGAGAGAGAGAGAGAGGAGGAGAGAGAGAGAGAGAGAGAGAGAGAGAGAGAGAGAGAGAGAGAGAGAGACAGACAGACAGAGAGAAAGAGAGAGACAGACAGAGAGACACAGCACGAGAGGGAGAGAGAGAGAAGGAAGAGAGAGCGAGAGAGAGAGAAGGAGAGAGAGCGAGAGCGCGCGTGCAGCCTGGCCACCGGAACTAATTAAACTGTGGCACTGGAGGCCTGAGGCGGAGTCCCCACCCTGAGCTCAGAGTCCCGGATGTGACGTCACTGCTTGGGAATACTTTTATCCTTTTTTTTACCCCTTTTCTATCTCTTTTTAAGGGGGTGGGAGGTAGGAGGAGGAGGAAGAAGGAGAAAGAAGAAGAAGAAGACGGTGGGGGGGAGAGGAAATTCATTTAATGCACATGAGATCAAATGCAAACGTGAAATAGAAAGAAAGTAAAAAAGAAAAAAAGAGTTAAAAATGTTGTTTTAAAGAACTACTTTCATATTCCTTTATTTTATGTAAACGTTTAAGCAACGTTCGCATCCACACGCGCCATAAACCCTATACATACGACATGAATAATTACACACAAACGGGAAGGATCATATTCTAATTAGATCCATCGCCATAATCGACCTTATTAACAAACTCGTTATTCGACTAATTGGAAACCCCGCTTTTGACTCGCCAGCCGACCAATAGGAAGCCACGAACCGACAGCGTCCAACGGCAATGCAATGTTAGTGTTCCTTTAACTAGCGCAGAGGTCGGATTCTCAAAATAATTGGTTCCGCTGCCACCACCTTTATTAATGTGGTCGAAAACAGCTTGGCTACCGTTGGTGTGGCGCTGGTCAGACCATGTGGATATTGAGACGGGTATTCGTGCGGTTTTATGTGGGTGCTACTCGTGAGGTGGGTGGGTGGGTGGGTGGGTGGTGGTTGGGGTGGGGTGGTGGGGGGCTGGTTGGGTGGGTGGTGAGGGGGAGGGGAGGGGGTGGGGGTTGCAGGAGTGTGTGGTGCGACTTCTTGTGGTGTTGGTGGGTGGTTTCTTAATTCTGTTTGTTTTTCTGTCTGTCTTGTCTGTCTCTGTTTCTTTGTTTCTCTGTCTTCTCTTTGTCTCTCTGTTTCTCTCTCTCTCTCTCTCTCTCTCTCTCTCTCTCTCTCTCTCTCTCTCTCTCTCTCTCTCTCTCTTCTCTCTCTTCTCTCTCTCTCTCTATCACACACACACATATATATATACATACATATACATACACACATATACATATATATATATATATATATATATATATATATATATGTATATATATATAATATCTTCTCTCTCTCTCTCTCTATCTCTCTATCTATCTATATATATATATATATATATATATATTATATATATATATATAATATATAAGATAGATAGATAGATGATAGATAGATATTATAGATATAGATATAGATATAGATAGATTAGCATATATAGATATAGATACAGATGTAGATATAGATATATGAATATATATGCTCTCTCTATTCCCGTTACCTATTCCTCTTCATCTTCGTCTTCTTCCTCCCTCTCCCTTCCCCACGCTCTCTCTCTTCTTCTCCCTATATCTCTCTCCCTGTCTCTGTCTCACTCCCGCTCCCCTTTCCCTCTCCCTCTACTTCTACCTCTAACTTTCCCTCCCTCTCCTTCTCCCTCTCCCTCTCCCTTGCCCTCCCTCTCCCTCTCCCTCTCTCTCCCCTCTTCTCCTCTCTCTCCCTCTCCCTCTCTCTTCCTATCTCTTTTCTCCCTTTCCCTGTCTTGCCTGTTTCTCTCTCCATTTGTCTATCACCCTCTCTCTCTCTCTTACTTTTCTTGCCACCCCTCTTCTCTCTCTTTACCCTCTCCCCCTCTTCCTCTCCGCACTCTCCCTCTCCCTCTCCCTCTCTCTTCCTCTCTCTCGCTCTCCCTCTACCCTCACCCTCCTTCTACCCTCTCCCCCTCTCTCTCTCCTCCCCCTTTCCCTCCTCCCTCCCCCTCTCCTCTCCGCTCCCCCCCCTCTCTCCTCTTCCTTTCCCCCTCCCTCTCCCTCTCCCTCTCTCCCTCCCCTCCCCCCTCCCTCCCCCTCTCCCCCTCTCTCTCTCTCCCTCCCTCTCCCTCTCTATCTCCCTACCCCACACCCTCTCTTTCTCCCCCTTCCCCTCTCCTCCTTTTCCTCTCCGCTCTCTCCCCCTCTCTCTCTCCTATTCCTCCATTTATCAACCCAATCCCATCCCTTATTTCCGTTTCCCATTCCTCTAGTAATGTTCTATGATTTATTTCGATTTATTTCTCCTCCTCCGAAACCCATAACAGTGATCAGTAATTTGGACTCATTAATTGTCTCATTAAGTGATTAGGGCTTCTGAAAGTTTGATTCTAATTAATGAGGGGCACTTTAATTGGCCTTTTGATGAGGTGGTTTTTGGTTAATTGCAAGTCCTTTTCTTTCTTAATTTGAGGGGTTTTGTTGTACTTTTTCTTTTTTTATTTGTTTTGTTGATTGTTGTGTTTTTGTTGTATTTTTTCTTTTTTTTTGTTTTGTTTGTTAATTGTTGTGTTTTTTTGTTGTATTTTTTTTCTTTTTCTTTTCTTTTGTTTTGTTATTGTTGTTTTTTGTTGTTTTTTTTTCTTTTTGTCTTTCTTCTTCCTTTTTCTTAATTGTTGAGTGTTTTTTGTTGTTTTTTGTTTTTCCTTTTCTTCATTGTTGTGTTTTTGTTGCATTTTTTTTCTTTCTTTTTTCTCTTTTTCTTAATTGTTGTGTTTTGTTTATCCGGTTAAGGTATTATTACTATCATTTGCATGATTTGCGTTATTAGTTTTATTAGTTTATTGTCATTGTCATCATTGTTGTTACTATTATTATCTGTTCTTAATGTTCTCGTTATTTCTATTATCTTTGTGTCATTTATAAAAACAATATATTAGCTTACGTTCAGAATTTTTTCCGTTTTCTTTGTTGCTTCACTTTTGCGGAATGAAAGAAAACCGTAAATAGAGCGTAAACTAGAGTAAAGTGTGATCGCCGTGCGTAAAAAGAACTTAATTTTATGTAAATTGTAAATATCATTTTGAGAAATAACGATTGTGAATTCTAGCGGTTGATGATATAAATCGTCTCTCGAAACCTTTTGAAGACGCGGAACATACTTGGATAGAGGCCAGCAATACACACAAAATATTTCCACTTCAATATGTTTATATAGATCGTCTTACAGTTTTTACTTCAAGATTGTTTATATAAATATATTTATGGAATAACAATTGTGTGTTGGATTGCACATACACACAGGTGTACAACATACTGCAAACCGTGGATACACACACACGCCACATAAACAAACTCACGCACATCCACACACACACACTAACTCACTCACACTCACACGCACACGCACATGCTCACACACACGCAAAATCACACGCACATGCTCACACACACGCAAACGGACAGGCACAGTCATAGGCACAAGCACACGGACAGGTACATGTATACGCACATGCACACACACACATGTATACATATCTGTCAACTGATCTATGTATGTATCTGTTTCGATTCCTGTCTTTTCCACGCACGCACACACACACACACACACACACACACACACACACACACACACACACACACACACACACACACACACACACACACACACACACACACACACACACACACACACACACACACACCACCGCACACCCACACACACAGACAGACAGACAGACAGACAGACAGGATATAGAGAGGACAGACAGAATTAATAATAATCCAACAAAACCATTAAAAGAAAACAAAAACAGATTTATTTTTCACCAACTAAGCTTATCCGGACCAAATCTCTTCTCTCTTCCATCCCTATCCATCTTTATCCGTTATTTCCTCTTCTGTGCTCCGAAAAGTTCCAAAATTCTCTTATTATCATTATTATCATCATTATTATTCCATCTCTTCTTATTATTATTATTATTATTATCAATTATTGCTATTATTGCTATTATTGCTATTATTATTATTGTTGATATTGTTATTTTCATTATCATTATTATTGAATAATAAATTATTCTCCCCCTCCCCCCTCCACCCCGATATTTCAAGCTGTCAGGAATACCGATCCATACCAGTACCACCCCGCCCCCCGCCCCCTTGGGCCTCCCCTAGGTGTAAAGAGCGTCCCCCCCTTCCCCCAGCCCTTATTAGGATGGTGGACGCCGAGGTGTGTGTGTGGTGTGGTGTGTGTGTTCTGTGTGTGTTTGAACTGTGTCCTGGGCTTAAAACGGGGGTGGGGGGGGAGGGGTCGGAGAGAGGGCTATGCGTGTTCTGACCCATACATGGTGTCTCGCTCTCTCTCTCTGTCTGTCTCTCTGTCTGTCTCTGTCTGTCTGTCTGTCTCTCTCTCTCTCTGTCTATCTGTCTGTCTCTCTTCTCGTTCTGTTTGTCTCTTTTTGTCTGTCTGTCTGTCTGTCTCTTTCTCTCAGTCTGTTTTCTCTCTCTATATCTGTCTCTCTCTCTCTCTTTCTCTCTGTCTGTCTCTCTCTATGTCTGTCTCTCTCTCTCTCTCTCTCCTCTCTCTCTCTCTCTCTCTCTCTTTCTGTCTGCCTGTCTGTCTCTCTCTGTCTCTGTCTGTCTGTTCTGTCTCTCTCTCTCTCTCTCTCTCTCCTCTCTCTCTCTCTCTCTCTCTCTCTCTCTCTCTTCTCTCTCTCTCTCTCTCTCTCTCTCTCTCCCTTCTCCTCTCCTCTCCCTCTTCCCTCTCCCTCTCCCTCTGCCTCACCCTCTCCCTCTCCCTCTCCGCCCCCTCTCTCTCCCTCTCTCTCGCCCCCCCCCCCCCACACACACACACATACGGGATGCCCATAGGTTGGGTTCGCTTGGGGAATTTTGCGAACTGGTGTGGCTCGGGGTCCGAATGTGGGGTCGTGTGTGTGTGTGAATTGTGTGTGTGTGTGTGTGTGATGTGTGTTGTGTGTGTGTGTGTGTGTGATGTGTGAGTGTGTGTGTGTGTGTGTGTGTGTGTGTGTGTGTGTGTGTGTGTGTGTGTGGTGTGTGTGTGTGTGTGTGTGTGTGTGTGTGTGTGTGTGTGTGTGTGTGTGTGTGTGTGTGTTGTGTGTGTGTGTGTGTGTTTCTGTCCCTTTCTTCTATCTGTTTCTGATAATGATAATTAATAATGATATCAAATGATAATGATATTAATACTAATAATGGTAGTGGTGAAATTTATGATAATGATAAAAAACTAATAATGATTAAATTATGATAAGGATAAAACAAAAATGATAATAATGAGAATAATAACAATAATGAGGAAAATAATATTGATAATAGTAAGGATTATAAAAATTATAATGATAACAACAATCTCACCAACAATAATAATAATGAAAATATTAATAGCAATAATAATAACAATAAAAACAATTGCAATGATAGTAGTAATAATAATAATAATAATAATAATATATAATAATAGCAATAATGATGATAACATCATAGTAATTATAATTAACGAGACATATCATTATGAATATTATTATAGTAATCATATTATTATTGTCATTTCTGTTATCACTATCATCATCATTGTCATTATCATCATTATTGTATTAATCATCATTAATCATAATCATCACCATCAATATTTCCACCATCGTTATATATATCGTCTTCATTACCATTACAGTCAACTCATCACCAACATAACATTTGTCATCATCACCCTCATCATCACCATCATAACATCCTCATCACCATGACCAAGATCATCATCATTATCATTCATTTTCGCCCCAAGGTCGAGTGTAGTGATTATACTTTGCACTTTGCGAGCGACATTTGGCAACTCCGTCAAACCCAACGAGAAGAC